CTAACTAAATTTTATGTAGAAACTATTAATATCTATGATACTAAATAAACATCACTAGATTTTTCATTAAATATATGTTTATAGTATATATATATACATACATAATTGATGTCATAGATATTGATACTAATTTTTATAAATTTAGTTAAACTTTTGACAATTTAACTAAGAGTAGAACTAAAGTTGTATTATTTTCTAGTACGGAGGCTGTACATACGTACGTACCTGGAGTCGGGAAGATCGGTTAGGTACCTAGGTAGGCAGGGAGGTTAGTTTGACAGTGATCGATCGGGGAGTTGAGTGACGTGGCTCAGTGCAGTGGGCGACGAACGGTTCCTGGCCTGCATGCAGGGCTGCAGCCAAGCTAGGGTGTCTAGCTTCCTTCAACTCAAAACTTTTGGCCATACTACGTGCAGTCGTGCACGCTGGGGCAAGGGAGTTGAGTGACGTGGCTCAGTGCAGTGGGCGACGAACGGTTCCTGGCCTGCATGCAGGGCTGCAGCCAAGCTAGGGTGTCTAGCTTCCTTCAACTCAAAACTTTTGGCCATACTACGTGCAGTCGTGCACGCTGGGGCAAGGGCCAAGGAGCCAAGCATCAAACATGTCTGCACGAACCAAATTTCTGCCCTATCGCCACCGGGTTGGCCATGGGCACTGGGCAGGGCAACCAGCTTGACGACATGCACCGAATTGCATGACACGCTCGTCGGTCGCGGCCAGCACCGACCAGCCGCGGTGTACTGGTGCAGACATGTTTGGCTGGGCACGGGGTGGACGGAGCAGAGCGCGCACGGACGCATGTGCCGCTGCCGCGTGGTGCGAACACGAGCGGCGGAGCGCCAAGCAGAGACAAGAGGAGAGCCCCGGGTGCGGCCGTTGCATTTGTGCGCTCTCCGGCAAAAACGCTACGATTTCTCGGAAATTGCCGGTTGCTTCGCTGGGCCAAGGAAAGCGCTCGTTTGCATCGGCCATTGCCCATTGGCCGCGTTTCTTTAGATCTTATTTATTTGATGCACGTGTATCCACCCCAATCAAATATGTTGGAGTGGAATGGAATATAACTTAATTTTGAAATAAATACATACACCTCCGAACAAGCTCTCGCGTTGCTCCCCTGTTTTGATCATGTACTTTCGGTATGCGGTGTGGCCTCCCTTCTTTTTCTCTGGTCCATTACTCCGGCCGGCGCTACCTCTACGTAGTAGTACACGACTCGAGCACAGGAGCGCCTACATATGCTACGGCATATGTGATGTATACTATGTAGGTCATCCAAGAAACACACAAGGACTGTAGGTACAGGTGTAGATGTAGATGAGATAGGTTGACTACACTGTTGCAAAAACCTACAAATCTACACCTAGGTCTGGCGATGAATTTTGGCAGATTTAAAACCGGATCTTGATCGAGTTTTCTTCATGGCCACTTCTTGTTCTGGTCGCAATAATTGGGGCGCACGGCACGGCACAACAGGTAGCATGCCACCCACAAAACAAGGGCAATCTGTTCTTGAAATCTTCTTCTAGCAGACTGACACTTTTTTGTGTGTGGGACATGGTTGCCCGGTTTCAAACTAGCAATAACAGTACACCCTTGATTTTGTATTTTTCCCACGCGTTATTCTCACTGAATCTGTGTTTTTTTTTTCTAATAGAGCGCTCTTCATCTATAGCCTTGTCATACTTTGGCCAATCTATTTGAAGCATTACAGAATTGTATTTTTTTACCTTTGTTTCTATAACCAGCAAACCCTAATAATTATTTGCTGTCCTTGCCACAGAACAGCTATGAACAGCTCCAAAATATATTAAAAAACACTTGCTAAATCATGACTATAAATTGAGTAACTTTTTTTTTTTGTCTTTCCCCAATAGTTTGCAAATTTTAGTTGCTAAAAAAACAAACTAGCCGCGGTTGCACGGTGGAGCGTCGGCAACGGCGGCTAGAGGAAAGAAAACTATATGGGAGGGAGAGAGAAAAAAAACAAAGAGGGAGGGAGGAAGGGAGGGAGACGTCGCTGGATGCTGGATGCAGCACCTGCGTGGAACGCATGCACATACCCTTAGAAGAGGAGATTTATCAAAGATTTATCTTAACAGAGTTTGGATACAAAACTGTTAGTTTGTTTTTACCAAAAAACAAGGGGAAATTTACAATTAGAGAGTTGTTTTAAGGAGCTCTTATAAACACTCTAATGGTACTTCACTATGCTTTATGAGAGTAACATAACAAAGGTTTCACAATCGGTAATGCTGGGATTATGGGAAGCATACGTCCATCCGCCCGGATGCCCCTGTTGGTGGGCCCCAATGTCCAAAAGGTTATCCTATCCGTTCCTATCCGCTCCTCTATGGTCACCACCGTTTATAAAAAAAACCTCACGCATCGTCGTGACTGTGCTCCGTGATCGCGCTTCGCCGCGCCTCCCGCCGGCCTTCCCTCCACCGCCGCCGCGCCCGCACCGCCGCATTGTGCTCCCCCACAACTGCACAGCCGTCGCCGCCTCGCCGCGCGAGGTTGCACCCGCCTGACTGCTGCTGCCTCCTCCACCGCGGGATCGCTTGCCAGGGGCAACGCACGCGCCCTATCGTCAGGGGTAGTGCAGCCGCTCCCTAGAGGCCGTGCCGCTGCCCGCCCGCTGTCATCCTCCTCCACCGTGACCGCACAGCTGGGTTCTGTTGTGCAGTGCTCTGCCCGCACACCTGCCTGCCAGGTTTTGCAGAACGCGCATGTTGCAAGCGTATGTTTCAAGTGTTTCAGATATTTATGAGGTATATCGCAAGTGTTTCATATGTATGCTGCAAAAGTATATTGGGATGTTACATAAGTTGCATGGCTATGAACATATGTTGCAAGCATCTGTTCTAAATGTTTCATCCGTTTTTTTTCAGACGTGTGTTGCAAGTCTGTTTATCTGGATGTTGCATATGTTTCATAATATGTTGCAAGTGTTTTATCCGAACGTTGCACATGTTTTGGAATGACTTTCAAGTGTTTTTAGGTATTTTTTGCAAGTGTTTTATACTTATGTTGCAAGTGTTTCAGATATTTTAGACGTATGTTGAATGCATTTCATCTAGATGTTGCAAAAATAGATCTCGTGTCGCACATGTTACAATGAGACCCACCTGCTGCAGCTATTGGGGTGCCGCCGAGCGGGTGCAGATGTTCCCGCGTGCATGCGCGTGGAAAGCGGAGGGGGCACGAGCGGTCCTCGTGCGTGATCTAGCGGCACGAGCGAAACCCAAAAGTGGGAAACAGATTACAGCGCGCGCGCGGGCGGCGTCTGGGCGGCATGGGCCCATGTTGGCGTGCGAAATGGCATGAAAAACGGACTGCAGACGCAGACGTCCGGATGCTAGCATTGCCGTTTCACCGGCCCCGTTCGCTTGTCTTAAAAATGGCTTGTTCGGCTTTTTTTTTTCAGCCGGAATAGTATTTTTCTCTCACAACAATTCAGCCGGAACAGTATTTTTCAGCCAGTTTTAGCCAAGTTTCAGACCAACGAACGGGGCCATATATATGGTGCTTCAGCCTTGGATCCACCCGCCTGCTTGTGCATGTTCAGTTAAAAACCTCAAAAGGACAACTTCAGCAACGTATGCATGTTGTCTTCTGAAAATAAAAGAAAAATAAGAAAGCACCATACATTCCGAAGCTTATCCGATGAGAATGTTGATGTTTCAGCAACCAAAAAGGAACCTTACATACAGTACATATATATGTGGACTATTTCTTTCAGAAAAAGAAAAGCATCGAACCATGACAAACAAACAAACTCCAAATTATGAAGAACAATTTAAAAAGAATATATAGTAAAAACAAACCATTAGTATTTGCAACAATCTATGGTCTTGTTCGCTTGGCTTATAAGCCGTATTTTTTCAACCAACGAACAATATTTTTCTCTTATAACAAATCAGCCAACAGTACTTTGAGCATGGCTTATGAAAGTGAACATGGCAACATATATGTAGCCTATTTCTTCTTCGATGCTGGGATTTGGGTGAGATCACCCCGGCTCCTACCTCCTATCCAGTCTACAGTGCTAGCCGGCGCTTGCGGGTGGTCATAAAGGTTTGATCAGTGGGATAGGTTACATGCATGCATCGGTCAATATTGGCAGTACATGGTAAAGCTATGGTTATTATGCTGCTCGATCTCAGAAAAGGAAACACCATAAAAACGTGGGATACTCAAGAATGCTGATGTTTTAGCAACTTCAATGAGTCTTACATTTTCTCAGGAAATAAAGCATTGAAGATTGAACCACGGTCTCTTCAAATAAACATGCTCCAAGTCGTAAAGTAAAATGTAACAGCTAGACATATTAAAACCAGTTGCTTTGTAACAAGCAACCTTTTAGGTTAATTAATTACAGAAAAAAAGTTGAAAACACGGTCAGGAGTTTTAATTATCATAAGAATTTTTTTCTCGTTTCTCAAGTTCTGAAAAAAAAGAGATATACCGGGCTTATATATATATATATATATCCATAATAATAGCTGTTATAATTTATAAATAAATCTTTGAAATGAGGATATAGACCAATCATCAACAAAAAAACAGCTAGATACTTCCAAGCAACATCAGGACAGACGGGCACCATTTTTCAACGTGGTACATCTTCCTGGTACCTGTTGGAAAAAAATGTTGGATAGATCGACATCCTCCCCTACTTCTGGACATGACATGAAGTTTGAACAACTCCATCGTCGTCCACACCATGCTAACGCAACTGGTATAAAATATTAAAATTTAATCCAACAACGACCCCTCTTTGGCTTGTCACAGCGTCTGCTGCGTCTCATCATCCCCAGGACTTCCATGCCATGCCCCCACCCTCCCTAACGTACCCATATATCACCGCCACAGCTAGCTCTGAGCTCGCCTTCCTTCACCACCTAGCTTGCTTGTCCATTGACGCCTTGAGGTTAGCGACGGACGAGAGAGCTCCGCCTAGCTAGCTGCCCGGCCGGGTGCTGCCGCTCGATCTGTCCATGGCCGCCGCCGGCTGTTTCCAAGCAGGAGGAGGAGTAGGCTGTAGTAGCAGCAGCAGCCGGATGACGACGCGGCGGGGCCGGCCATTATTAGCGCCGTGGCGCCTGGTGCTGGTGTTCCTGCTCCTCCTGCTGCTGCTGGCGCCGAGCTGCTGCCAAGCGACGCGAGGCATGCAGCCGTTCAGGGGCAAGCCGCTGGAGCCAGGCACCGCCAACCATTTCCTGGGGTTCTTGCCGCGGGGCACCGTGCCGCCGTCGGGCCCCTCGCGGCAGCACAACTCCATCGGAGCGGAGGACCAAAGCCATCCCTGACGACGACCGACCGGCCGATGCATGGAAGAAGCCGGCAGACGGCCGGCCGCCGTGGAGAAAGCTATTGTAGAGTAAGATCTCGAAGAGAGTTCGCGCGCATCATCATATCATATCATATCATGGATTAATTAGATTCATGGTTCGTTGTCAGTTTTAGCTAAGGAAGCTCGTATGTAGTAGTATTGATTAGTTAGCACGTAGCAGTAGCAGCAATACATGTATACTTGGAGGGAACGAAGGCGAAGAAGTTAGGAGGAACGTTTTTTGTCCGTAGGACGACGATGATGTACATGAGGCTATTGTTTTTTTTTTTTTTTGGAGAAGAAGAAGATGGGTGGTGGAGATGTTTCCGTCTCATTTCATCGGTGGTGCTTCTTGGATGTTCTTGTTCGCTTTCTGTTATCTTCTCCCTGCCACTGCTTTTCTGAGCAGTGCGAGCTGGATCGATGCTTCTGCTCGCTGCAGCTGCATGCTGCCATCACGCACTGCTTTATGTTTTTTCTTCTAGCTAGTATCTCTTTTGCTTTGCTGATAAAGCTGGGTACGTACGTAGCCGGCCAGCAGAGTACGAGTGTACACCAACCACTGCCTAAGTGGCTTTGTACGAGTTGCAATCAACGTCGCCTCCTCCCTCGCTGCTTTCTGATGAGCACCATCATGGTTCATAGATGGTATGGATCGAGCAGAGCTGTCCGTCGTTGATGGTGTGCAGTTGCGTGCGTGCTGTGATTGCTCCAGCATGCGCGGGAAGGGGGCACGTACAGGAGAGCAGAGGAGGAGAGAGCGCGAGGGCGAGGCCGGAGGCGTACCGCAGCTGAAAGGAGCACGCACCGGTCTGGTAATGACCTCGCAGCTAGCAACGCAACAGGCCCGGCCGACGATCGCGAATCGCCGATCGCGGTTGGTGCAGGCCCAAGTTTGAATTTGGTTTGGAAGGGACGAGCAGCGCCAGCGCCAGCGCCCAACCATATTAACCTACCTTTTTGACCGCCACCCCCTCCTTTCCCTTCTCTTTATTTTTGACCGACTGGTGCTTCCATTCATTCATTCAGTTATTTTTGTCATCTCTAAAAAAGAATTTAACTTTTTTACTGCTATAATATAATATGTATATTCGCCGTCTGACTACCGAAGTTGCTAGGGAAGACGCATGGATCAGCAGAGAAACAGTGATGTAAGACGTCGATTGATTGTACCGGCGCGCACGGCATCATCAGGAGGTAATGGCGCGTCGGATCGGATCGACCCGAGCTGCCGCCTCCTCCAATGGGCCGGCCCTTTGTTCGCTGTCAGCTCAGCACACACACACAGCACCCTTCGGTTTCATTTGGGGGGCAGTAATGAGTGGCGATTAGCAAGCGAACGGTGCAAGCTGCCGACTGCCCGTTGTTGTACATGCACGTACAGCACCAGCGCCATGCCTGCCTCCGTCAGCCTTTGACACCCTGCAAGGCTGCAAGAATGTACAGTGTGATACGAGACGACACATCCTACTGCTAGTGCTAGGCTGCCATGGAAAAAGGGAAAATCTCGTCCCATCTCAGCGGCAGGATAGGAGGCCCCTTTTGCTCTCTGGAGGGATCGGTATCGGACAGCTCCTCATCTTTGCAGTTACAGCAGCAACACTCACTCCAACAGTAGTGCAAGGTGGAGATCCTCAAGGTGGATCTGATGCGATGTGACAGGACACAAGAGGCACGGAACGGCAGGCAGACGACGAGACGACACGACGCACGCTCGCCTCGCGCGGCATCTCGTCCTCAATCCGCATGGAATGGATGGAATCGGACGAACTGACTCCGGAGGCCGCTGTCCCCATCGGCATCACCTGCTGGCTGCCTACCTAGGCCAGTAGCGTGTAGCGATACAGGCCGCCGCTGACTTTGCTCACGCGAACGCCTGCCAACAATTCCGCGGTCTTACCTACACTTGAACTCGAATGATTCGAGCGATCATCAGCGTCGTCGCTTTGGCACAAAATTTCCCTCAGAAACCAAACAGCTGCGACCCTGCTGGCGCAGCCATATATGCATGCATGGTCGTCTTGTGTTTCGACGGAGGCCAACAAAAAAGTCTTCGCAGCGCGTCTGCCGGCTGCTATATACGAGTACTCCGCGTATTTGGATCGCGACGCACGGCACGGATTATTGACATCAACCAGTTGTGTGTACACACCTCTCTCCCCCTCACTCTCAAGTCGCGTTTCTCCTCTCGATAAGCAACAGTGATCAGTTGCTTCTGTTGACTAATTTGGCGACTCTGATGAAACGGCGTCACTGTCACATGCCTGTCCGACAGTTGATCTTAGCACCGACGATATTTTCCATTTTTTGATGCGATTTGATGCGAAAGCCAGTAATAAGTTGATAAGTAGCCGCTGACAGAGTGATGAGGAACTACTCATTTATTTTTGTAGGGCGCGCGGAGGAGGACACCTGTGTTAAGCAAAAGCAACGGTGGTATGTAGACATCGTTGCTGTCATTTCATTCGTATGACTAGTAATTTTTTTTCCTTAAAAAAGTATTTGTGTAATGTAAACAAATAAACAAACATACTACAAAGGCACGCTTAACTAACTTTGGATGGCCTACCGAACTGTACAATTTTCACATAATCTCTATATATAATGGATTCTGAGTTTGTCTGGGGTCAAATGTAAAACTAGGGAGAGTTTAAGCGTCCATGTAAAACTTTATTGACCCCTAGGGCACTGTCAAGACGTGTTATATCGAATCATTTCTCTACCTTAATACAAAGACGCCAAACCTTTTGCGTGATTGAGAGAAAAAAGTTTATCTAGGGTCAAATTGTTATAAATTTGATCATTTAAAAACAATAATGTTCACTACCAGAAAACTAAATATCCTTGGGAGCCAACAATTTTCTTGAGGGGCGAAATTGAACCCCCAAGGATATATCATTATCTTGGGGGTTGTATGAAACCTCAAAGGAAATATATATTCTTGAGTGCTAACCCAAACCGCCAAGTTAAATCCATTTCCCTTGAGTGTTAGTCTGAACCGCCAAGGTAATTCTATGTTTCCTTGAGTGCTATTACAAACCGCCAAAGTAATTCACATTTCCTTGGGTATAACCGAAAACCGCCAACAAAAGTGCTAGTTTCCTATGCATATCCTTGGGGGTCATCGACACTCAAGGAAACATATATCCTTAAGGGGTGTTACATTTCCTTAGGTGTGCACCCAAAGGAAGCATATATCCTTGGGTGTCATTGGCACTCAAGGAAACATATATCTTTAGATGTTGTTACATTTTCTTGACGGTGTTAAAAATCTGACCACTGATTTATTTCCTTGGCAGTTCAACCCTTAAGGAATTAATTTGTGACGGCCGGCCCACAAAGTAAGAGCTGTTTCCCTGACTCTGTACCCTTTGGTGGTCCTTCCTTGAGTGTTGGTCACCAGGAGTTATTTCCTTGGCGGTTTTGCTGCTTTCCTTATTGGTTTTCGACCCTCAAGGCTATTTTGTTCTGTGGTAGTGTTTGAGATATCAAATGATCATCATTACATACATGATGAAATGTGTTATTTATAGTATATCCCTTTAGTGTAGTATATGTCAATACTCCTCTCTCTCTATATAATTGAATAGTCAAAATCAAGTGATATGCATCAGCTTTTCCCTTTGCCCTCTGCCAGGCTCCGCTACCCTTCTGCAGTGATATGCTGGGAGGCGAGTAGAGCCGCGGGACTGCAGGAGGTTGTTTGCGATTTGTTAATAGTCTTTATGTTGCAACATATTAATTTTCTGTCCTTATCTGGTTATAGAAATAATTGTAAATTATTAATTGTATTTGTGCCAACACGTATCCGACAAAAATGGCTTTATCTAACATATTTTTTAATCTCGAATATGAAAATCACAGTTTATTCGTATATAAAATGCAATGAACTAAATCTATAATTTTAAATATAAAATATATGCAATAACCGTCGTCTAAAAGGAAGCTGAATTTTACACTTTGTTTTGTTTCAACTTTCTCTGGTCCATGCCCTGTTTCGCCTGTACCAGCACTCCGGCAGAGTCATGTCCAGTCTCCGACACCGACACGGGGATCTCAAAAATAAAATTAGTGTACTCTACGTGTTACATGCCAGTTAAAATGGTTCGTGTTTGACCAAGTTTTCAGTGAATAATATTCATATTTATAGCTCCAAGTTAATATTTTATGAAAATAAATTTAGTAATTAATCTAATATTATTTATTTGATATCATAAATATTTGATATATCTTATTTATAATTGGTTAAATTTATAAGATACTAAAACATGATATCATGCTAGAACGGAGGGAGTACACCTCACACCCTGAATTAATTTCAAATTTATTTTAGGATAAAAGAAGTATTACTCCTACTCTCTCTAGGTTCTAAAAAAATCGTTTTGACAGCGACACGTTTTCCAAAGCATAAATTTGACTTTTTTTGTTTGGTCTGGTTTGGCTTATAAGCCATGGCGGAAAGTACTTTTGGCTGGTTTGGTGTGAGAGAAAAATACTGTTCGTTAGCTGATAAACCATGGCTTATAAGCCAAATACGACTAAACGAACAGACTGGAAAGTACTTTTAAACTAAATCTTTTTATATAGTTTTCATATTTTCAAACTCAACCGTTTAAAAGTTATTCATGATTTATATTTTCAACGTACGTTTGATCCAGGTATTATCTAAAAAGAACTTTTTTTTAGAAACCTGGAGTGGGTACAATTCAACGAGTCACATGCCTTGTGCACTTGGTTCAACAAGTCACAAACGCTCAAAATGTCGTCAGGCTTCCAACATGTTCCACTACCAGCAGCGATCGCTTTCTGACAGGCAGCTCGGCCATTTTTCAAGCACGCACGCAAAAGGCTGGCTGCCACGAGTTACGCCCCTGATTAGACTCCACACCGCCCTCCCGTACTGTGACTGATGAAACCTGCTGCTGAGCAGTGAGATACGTACGAGTAGAACATCAACAAATCAGCAGGACGCATGGC